GCAAGTGCAACTGCAACAGCCGATTCCTCCCATTCTGCCCTCTTTCTTGCTCTCTCCTCCAATGTCTCCCAGCTTGACTCCCATGACTCTCTCCTTTTCCTCCTCCTACGCTTCCTCCAAGACCCCCACCAATTCCTCCTCTTCCAGCAGTCATTCATTGCCTTCACGTCCGACATCTTCTTCCTTACCAGCCCATTTATCGTGTAGGTATTACACTACTTCTTCTGTTCCGTAACCTAGGTGCATATGTTCACAGTGGCCTTAGATTCTGTCTCGCCGAATTTCCCGAGCTGTTATACCCATCATCGTGAGTACTCCTGCTTTTTTTTTCTCTTCTTCTTCTTCTTCTTCTATTACTAACGGGCCATGGCTAATACTCTGATAGAAGTCAACTTACCGATGGCGGCTACTATGCATCCTCCTGTCTCTGATTCCAATCAGATGCCTGATTCTCATGGCTTGCCTTCTCTCTTCGGTGGGCTGGGATATCACAACCAGAGGCCTGGACCGAAGTACAACGGGATCAAGAATAGCATGCCAATGGCGATACCTCCCTACAATCAATTTGTTCTTCTGCCGAATGGTACTATCTTCAGCGGACTGCCTCTTGACCAGGGCCCGTATTTACCTGCACATGGCCTCTACTCCGGCTTGGCCCCGCCTTGTCCGGTGGTGCCAACTCCCCCGAGCGACTACTTTCACAACCCCAATGCTGGTCTGGAAGGACCTGGCTTGTCGAATTTCGGATTCAATGGCCTTCCTCAGCCAAGTGGGACATGTCTACCTCTCCAGATGATGAAGACTCCGACGGGGTATATTCTCCAGGATCTCGAGAGTTTGACGCAGCAAGATCCACCCATCCCACGAGCGGTGCCCGCCATGTGGACAAACCCATCTGATCTGACTCTGGCTAAGTGTCTAGAGAATCGAGAGGGGATTACCAATGTCTACATTCGAGGCTTTCTTCCGGAGACGACTGATGATATGTTGCATGCTTATGCCTCCCGCTTCGGAAAAATAGATCGCTGCAAAGCTATTGTTGACTTGGACACGGGCCTCTGCAAAGGGTTTGTCTGTGTTCTCGTCCTGATATCCTCTCTAACAGTGTTCCAGATTTGGATTCGTCCAGTACTACAACTTCGAATCCTGCGAGAACTGCATCCGCGGTTTCTTCTACCTTGGCTACCAGGCCAGTTTTGCTCAGGTACTGTTGTCTCTCCGAAGGGTTTGCTACCTGGTCACTGATATTTCTCTAGAAATCCCGCAACTCTAGGCTCAAAGATCTAGAGGATAAGTCTTCGACCAACATTTACTGCACAAACCTTCCGATCGAGTGGACAGAGGCTGTGAGAATGCTTGTGCCCGAAAGAAGAAGCTTGTACTAATTAAACTTTATCATAGGATCTTCGTCGTCACTTCGAGCCATATCGTGTGGTCTCGGAGAAGATCAGCCGCGATGAGAAAACCGGAGTGAGCAAGGAGGTTGGCTTTGCTCGGTTAGTGTTTCGAAACGGCGGCGTGAGCCTCGAGTCGTGATTGACTTTGAGCCATAGGTTTGAAACGCGTGACATTGCAGAGAAGGTGTTGGGCGAGTTCCATAACGTCGTCTCCAAGGATGGAGTCAAATTGCTTCTTCGTTTTGCGGATACGAAGGCCCAGAAGCTTCTCAAGCAGCAAAGCAACGAGAGACGCGCATACCGTGCTGGGGAGTATAACTACTCGGTTGAGGTCGTGCAAGGATCCACCCCTTCGCCATCATTGCACCGTATTCAACAGGGCGTGTCGCATATCAGTCCCAACTCGCAGGCCAGCTACGCCTCTCCAGTCGGTGTGTCTCCAGTCGGTGTGGGATCTACCTGGACCCCTGCGACATCCATCTCCCCATCGTACGTTACTGAATGTCTCTGTTCCCTCCCAAGGCATGCTGACGATACAAGCAGGTATCCCCTGATGAAGAGCCAGGCGGGGAACGTGCGCTTCAACTCTTGGTCATCCAAAGGCGGGCCAAGAGCCTTGGAGAACACACCTCTCGGGCGAGGGCAACGCAATGCCTGGACTGACAACGTCTCTGGCGGTTCTTCAAAGATGAACTTTCCAGCAACTCCTTGTGTTAAGACTCGCTCCGAGCAGTCTAGCCCTCGCAAGAGCAACGTCAAGGCTGGTTCCGTGTCTCCCATCTCAGCACGCAAGGAGGTTATTGTGACTTCACCCCGCTCGGTCATCTGAGCATTGAATGTCAACCGTGCCTAATACGCTTGCTTCCCCATGCAATGTGCGCTTGCTTTTATCTCTCGCTTTCCTCTTTTTGTTCAAGATTCCGATTTTTCCCTATCTTCAATGGCGAACAACCTTTGAGAGGCATGAAAGGCTGTGCTATGCGCCATGTCCTTTGAGACGTATCGCCTTTCTAACTGTATGTGTAGAGGTCCACATGTTAACCACGATGGATGACTGATACAAGTCTCGACTGCCTCATCCATTTCAGATGTCATATCACCTTAATGTTTGCTGCATTGCTTTTGTCCGTCTTCTTGAGCTTTTGCCGTTTGCGTGTTATTTGTTCTTCATTTCTTGACGACAGCCACGATTGTATGTTCAGCAGAATGATGTCTGATTTAGGAGTTTGTATCTCTTACAACCTGGCCATTCTGGTACTCATGGAGAGAAGGGTGAAGGGATCATGAAGCGAAGGGACTGAGTGGAAAAGTGGCATTCCTGTATGTGTCTAATCATGGTTACTCCTTTCGACTCCATAAAACTATCAACGCAGTCTACAGGCTGGGAATAATAGTGATAATGATACTGCGAAACCAAAGTCCTCCTGCACGTAGCAAGCAGCACTGCTAATGCTGGTGTCTATCAACTTTAAGGGTCAAGGAGAAGCCATCTACCCTCGAACTCATTTCGGTGAGAACCTTGACAATGCCATGAATTTCATAGGACGGTAGGCAATCCGTCCCACAAAGTTCCTACTATGCACGCTGAACCGGTCGACTCCCGGTACCCGAGGAATGCACATGATAAATGCCCACCAGACGTCAATTGCGACCCAATCTCTCCTCCAAGTCCTCGGTCAACTCATATGCCGGAAGATACCGCGACTGCTCGGCGCTGCTGGCCTCGGACTCCTCAGACTCCGTCCCCTGACGCAGCAGCTTGGGGTTGGGCCGCGTATCGGCGGTGCCGCCCAGACTCGTGTACCCCTGGTCGTAGAGGGCGCAGTACTGCAGCCCGAGGTGGCGGATGAAGGCCCAGATCTCGGTGTAGTGCCAGTCGATGACAGGGTGGTAGCGCAGGAACTGGGGCCAGCCGCTGTCGGTGTAGTCCTGGTGGGTCAGGCGGGCGCCGTGGGGGTCGGTGCGGCGGGTGCCGACGAAGATGGCGCGAACGGCCGGGTGCTGGGCCAGGTAGTCGGCGAAGACGGAGCGGATGGTGGTGCGCGGCGGGTCGGTGGTGTACTTGACCATGTCGAGGTGGTAGTGGCGGGCGGACCAGGCGACGAACGCCTCGACTTCAGGGAAGGGGTCGGGCGGGAGGGCGTAGATGGCGGGGATGGAGGTTAGAGAGTTGAGTTTGTTGTTGGTGTTGTCTGTCGGCGGGGTCTGTGGTTGTGGTTGTGCATCTGTTTGTATTTGTGGTTGTGATTGTGCTTGTGGTTGTGCTTGTGGTTGTGATTGTGTGGTTTGTGTCTGTTGTTGTTGTTGGCTCGTCGTCGTCCTCGTCGGCAGATTGTGGAGACTCGCGAGAAACAACACGAGCATCACGAGGCAATCCTTGCCGCCGTTGTAGGAGAGGGAGAGGTTCTCGAGCGGGAACGTGTCCAGGGCCGCGGCGAAGACGTCCAGGGTCACGCGCGTTTGCTTCTGCACGGCGGCCAGGAGGGAGTCCGCGGGGTGAGATTCGGAGAGGAAGCGTTGGATCTGGTCGTGCAGGGCGGCGATGGTGGTCGTTAGTGGTGGTGGAGGTGGGGGTGCGGTGGTGTTTTTCTCATCGTCATTGTTATTATCATCGTCTTTGTCTTTGCTGGTAGTCGTCGCGTCGGTCCTGAGAGGGATTGAGTTGGCTTCTGTTGTCGCCTGCTGCTCGGCATCATCGGCCGCAGCGGCGGGGTAGGATGCCGTAGGAGTGTGGGGTGCGGCTGCCAGTGCGCTTGCGCAGGTGCCATTTGGTTGAGACGTGGCCGGTTCGGAGGACATGGTTATGGTTCTGGGGCCCTTTGGGATGGGGGGGGGGTGGTAGGGTAAGGAGACAAAGGCGAAAAAGAGGTAAAGGAGGGCAGCGGAGGAGGTGGAGGGGCTTGGTAGCGATGACTCGGGATGGGATCGGTGGTTATCAGCTTGCTTTTTAGGGCGGCCGAAACAGGTGTGGTTGATGCCGCCGCGGAGTGCCAGCCTAGGCTAAGTTCGTGGGGACTAGTACCGTCTCAGTACAAGTAAGGTATCGTGATGTGTAGAAGCAATGCAATGGGAAGAAATGTATGAGAAGAGGTGTGTGGGATGTAGAGGGAGTCTAGGACATGGCAAGTAGATGATACAAAGTTGCGAACCCCTGAATGTGATTGTTCAATGGGCTGGAGTCGGTCAATTGATTGATTGAGGGTTTGGGGGAGGACAGAAAGGCGGAAGGCTGTGACGCTGCCTGGGGTGCCACTGCCACTGCCGCTGGGACTGAACTGGAATGTTCTTTCTGCCCCCCGCATTGAACTTCCTTCCTCCGCGGCTCACCGCCTTCTTATCGCCGTGTGATCGGATATCAATGCAATTAATTCATTCGCTTTGTTCCGACTATGGATTGATTGAAGGGGTATTCTCTTTGGTGCATGTCTTCACGGGCATATATACTGGGCCAGGACTGTTGATTTTGATGGAGAGCTGAATAGAGAGTGTGTGGCGAGCAACACCCCCTTGTTTATGCTCCAGCTGCTCGTGGTTGTATTCTTTTCCGGGGACGTCTACTCCGTACAGCCTGCGATTCCATAGACCATCCATAGGGAAGGACATCAGATGAATACATGCTCTGCCTCACCCTGGTGGCGGTGCCTCTGCTGAGTGGATTTTATCTAGAGTCACTGAACGTATCTCCGTACAGTGGTTGACAAAAAGCCCCACAGCACAAACACTGAAGGCAAACACTATGGTATATAGGTTTCATTAATACTATCGTCCCCATAATTGAAGCTCTCAACCTCCAGAGAGTCAATCGCCGGTGCTTGCTGAATATCCGGCTTCGTGGTGGGGCATGTTCATCCCAGCACTTTCATTTTCTTCTTCTTCTTTTTGTCCCCATCCTTCTTATGTCCCTTCTGGAAGTCGCGCCAGCTGCCAATCCGTTCGTCGCGAGTATCCTCCCAGGCTTTGTCCTGGTCGCGTTTTCGTTTCCGTGCCTCCAATTCTTCCTCTTCCTTGCGCCGTTCGCGTCCTTCCTCTTGCAGCTTGGCCTTGGCCTGCCTGCGCCGCCGCGCCTCTTCTTCCAAGAGCACCGTGACCGTCATCTGACGCCATTCTTTCTTGAACTCTTCCGTCTTCAGCTCCGGGGAGTCGAGGGTGTACTTGTGTTCGCGGATCAACAGTCGTCGCGCATCCGCAATGCATTCGTCGAGGTATTCGCGCTTCTTCTCGTCCATGAGTGCGGAGTGCGCTTTCTGGAGACGATCAAAGGCATCGGGGGCGGCCGGGTTTTTGGTCTTATCCGGGTGAATCAAAAGGGACTTTTTGCGATAGCACATTTTGATATCCTTCTCTGTGACTCCCGGCTGTAGGTCGAGGACGGCGTATCTATCTCAACCATCGCGGATTAGCGTCAAGATACCAAGCTTTGACACATATGAGCTCTTGCAGTACGATGCGCGCAACTTACGCGTCCAAGACAAAAGCTTTCCTAATCCGATCAATCTCTGCATCCTGCGATTGGAGTTAGCGTCAGCGACGGAATTGTCAATGGGGATGAGGGGGGGGAGCGTGGAAGGCACCTTGTCAAAATCGGACGCTTCCCGCTCGAGAGCGTCCAGCGCATCTTGTTCCTCGGAGGCCATGATACTTGATTTCTGGGGGCCCAGGTCAAGAATAAGCAGCTCTCCTCAGGGTCGCACTGGTCGTGTGTCTGCAAGTTGAATGGCGATCGATGATAAGCATTGGCTTATCGCTAGCTGAGTCATCGGCGAACGCCCGCCTGGCAACCAAAAAGAGAGAGAAAAAAAGTTGCTTCACCGCCCGGAGACCGAGATTCGCATTTCTGAACAGCACCAAATCATTGTTTCATTACTGTTGTTCCCACACGATACCAGTTCTCGCCCTTTGCTCTTCGTGGACGCACTTGTGGGATTCGATCTTCCAGACTAGCCCACTATGGCTCCGACTCACGGTTCTCGTGATAAAAAGCAAGCCAAACCACAACGGGCCGGTAATTTGAAGCGCAAGCGTGCCCAAGACGATCTGTCTTCCCTCATCCAGCGAGTGGAAGAGCTCGATGTCAAGGACTCGATCAAATCATTTACCGATTTGCCTCTATCTGAACCGACCGCCTCCGGACTCGCCTCATCTCACTACAAGACCCTGACCGATATTCAGTCCCGTGCGATCAGTCATGCGCTCAAAGGCCGCGATGTTCTAGGCGCCGCGAAGACGGGAAGCGGCAAGACTCTGGCTTTCCTCGTCCCTATTCTCGAGAACCTTTACCGCAAACAATGGGCGGAGCAAGACGGCTTGGGCGCCCTCGTTCTCTCGCCGACCCGCGAACTCGCGATCCAGATCTTCGAAGTCCTCCGCAAAGTTGGTCGCTACCACCAGTTCTCTGCAGGTCTCGTCATCGGTGGAAAGAGTCTGCGTGAGGAGCAGGAGAGACTGGGACGGATGAACATTCTGGTCTGTACGCCTGGCCGGATGCTGCAGCACTTGGATCAGACCGCTTTGTTCGATACATACAACCTACAGATGCTTGTTCTGGATGAGGCGGATCGCATTCTGGATATGGGATTCCAGAAGACCGTGGACGCGATCATCGGCCATCTCCCGAAGGAGCGCCAGACGTTGCTTTTCAGCGCAACGCAGACAAAGAAGGTTTCCGACCTGGCGCGGTTGAGTCTCCAGGATCCAGAATACGTGGCTGTCCACGAGGCAGCCTCCTCCGCCACCCCCTCGAAACTCCAACAACACTACGTCGTCACTCCCCTCGCGCAGAAGCTCGATGTCCTGTGGAGTTTCATCCGAAGCAACCTGAAAACCAAAACCATTGTCTTCCTCTCTTCCGGCAAGCAGGTGCGGTTCGTTTACGAAACCTTCCGGCACATGCAGCCCGGTATTCCCTTGATGCACCTTCACGGTCGACAGAAGCAGGGCGGCCGACTCGATATCACGACCCGGTTCTCGTCGGCACAACACGCCGTGCTCTTTGCCACCGATGTCGCTGCGCGCGGGCTGGACTTCCCGGCTGTTGACTGGGTCATTCAGCTGGATTGCCCGGAGGACGCTGATACCTACATCCACCGTGTGGGTCGTACGGCACGGTACGAGCGCGACGGCCGCGCGGTACTGTTCCTGGACCCCAGCGAGGAGAAGGGAATGTTGAAGAGTCTGGAGCAGAAGAAGGTTCAAGTCGAACGTATCAACGTGAAGGCGAACAAGCAGCAGAGCATTAAGGACCAATTGCAGAATATGTGCTTCAAGGACCCCGAGTTGAAGTATCTAGGCCAGAAGGCCTTCATTTCCTATGTCAAGTCTATCTACGTTCAGAAGGACAAGGAGACGTTCGACGTCAAGAATCTCAAGCTGGAGGAGTTTGCGGCTAGTCTGGGTCTTCCTGGTGCGCCCCGCATCAAGTTCATCAAGGGTGAGGATACGAAGGAGCGCAAGAACGCGCCCCGTCTGGCCGCCTACGCTTCCAGCGAGGACGAGTCGGATGAAGATGGCGAGAAGAAGAAGGCCAAGAAGGAAGAGCCCCAAGTACGGACCAAGTATGACCGCATGTTCGAGCGCCGGAACCAGGATGTGTTGGCCGAGCACTACTCGAAACTCATCAACGATGACGGCACGATGGTCGAGCCCAACACCGCCACGCAAGATGCCGATGAGGATGATGACTTCCTGTTCGTCAAACGCCGCTTCGAAGCTGGAGATAAGGATCTGGGCGCTGGATCCAGCTCGGAGGAGGATGACGACGAGGCAGGTGCGGAGAAGAAGCCGACCAAGGTGGTTCAGCTGGATGGCAAGCAGGCGTTGGTCATCGACTCCAAGCGCCGGGAGAAGCTGCTCAAGTCGAAGAAGAAGTTGCTCAAGTTCAAGGGCAAGGGATCGAAACTCGTTTTCGACGACGAGGGCAACGCCCACGAGCTGTACGAAATGGAGGACGAGGAAGACTTCAAGGCCAAGGGCGATGCCAAGGAGCAGCAGGCTCGCTTCCTGGCGGAGGAGGCCGAGCGCACGCGGCGGGCGGATGTGGAGGACAAGGAGGTGGCCAAGCAGAAGAAGCGCGAGAAGAAGGAGAAGCGCAAGGCCCGCGAGCGCGAGCTGCTGGCTGCGGAAGCAGGGGAAGGGGGCGAGGGCGAGGAGAGGGTGGCTTACCTGGCTCCGTACAAGGAGGACGACGACCGCGACAGGGACGGCGGATTCTCTGCATCGGAAGCGGAAGAGGAGGCCCCTCGTCCCAAGAAGTGGTTCATGGACGACGACAGCGACGACGAGCCCAAGTCCAAGAAGGCCAAGAAGTCCCGGAAAGAGCCCGAGCAGCAGATCCAGACCTTGGAGGATCTGGAATCGTTGGCTGCAGGCTTGCTGGGGTAGTTTGTCTGGGAGGTTTCACGGTTGTCTTCTGCAATGGGTATATCCTTGTGTCTGATATTGTTTCTTATATGAGTTGTTACATAGCGGATAATCTCAAAAGCATTTTCATTGGTTTAATATCTTGTATGTATGTATATAGTGCATCCACCTATCAACTCGATCTGACGCTCGTATCTAAAGTTGCGCATGCACGATAACTCTATCTGATCTTGGATTCCCAATCACGTGGCTGACAGCCGAGCAGTGGGTCCCGGTCCGCTTTGCATCGGCAGTTCCATCGAACAATTTGCAACGGTGATGGCCAATTCCATTCTTGCTACGTAAGACTTTTCAATCACGCCATCCGCTAACAGCAAAAACTTCAATTGCAGAATAAGACGGTGCGAGAGCTGTCGGCTTGAAGATGTACTTCTTTTTTCCCTGGTTCGAGTCTTTGCCCAGGAGGTTTGAGGTTTGAACAGTTCATATAGCGCTGAAACGCCGATCTGGACTGCAGATTTAGCCCAGGTTTTTCTTGGTCTTCTCGGCTTAGTTCTGTCTGGCGGTTTCCACTTTTCCTAAGTCACGTGGTATTTGAGGCACTGCTTTGGGAAGTCCATCGTCATTGGTGGACGGGCTGGTCTGCTCTATACTCGGTGAGCAACTATAACACCTCACCTCACTTCACCTCACCTACCTACCTTCTCCTACAGCCATTGTGGATGTACTAACATGGAAACATTGCAGCTTTTCACAAACTTGTTCATCCTAAGACACAACCATGGCAGCCCATGACATCGAGAAGCAGCCTGCTGCTGCTGCCGAAGCAGGAGCTCCCCCGGCCAAAGGGCCCGGCGCATCTGGCGGCTTCGTCGATGCAGACGCGCAACTCGTCCGCGCGGATCGGCTGGCGCGCAAGCTCTCTGCGCGGCAGGTGCAGATGATTGCCATCGGCGGCACCATCGGCACGGGCCTGTTTCTGGGAACGGGCAAGTCGCTGGCTACCGGTGGCCCGGCGTCCATGCTTACCTCCTATATCATCTGCGGTGCCATCGTTTACGTGACGATGCTGTCGCTTGGTGAGATGGCTGCTTTCATCCCCGTCGCGGGCTCGTTCTGTACTTTTGCTGGGTAGGTTCGCTTACATCCTTCGTGGTGCGCGCGCAATGCAATTGAGGCTAACAGAGGATTGGGGGTACTTCGTCTTTAGTCGTTTCGTCGATGATGCTCTGGGCTTCGCTCTGACGTGGAACTATTGGTTCAACGATGCTGTGTCCACGGCCTCGGATATTATAGCTCTGCAGCTGGTTCTCGAGTTTTGGACGGATAACTTTCCCGGCTGGGCGATCAGTCTGATCTTCCTGTTTGTGGTGATCTTCCTGAATGTCATGTCTGTGAAGGTTTACGGAGAGGTTTGTCTCGCCGTGGATGCGGTGTTGATTCATTGGCTAACTTTGGTTTGTGCTGCAGATCGAGTATTGGCTGAGTCTGCTCAAAGTCGTCACCATTATCGTATGTTCTTCATATTGGTGCTCATCTTGGTGCAGCATCTGATATGCACTGGATAGTGTGCTAATTCGACCATAGATCTTCATCATCCTCGGTATCGTTGTCAACTGCGGCGGAAACAAGGATCACACCTATATCGGAAACAAATTCTTCTACACCGGGGAAGCTCCGTTCGTCGGTGGAATCGGAGGATTCGCCTCTGTCTTCGTCACTGCGTCTTTCGCCTAGTATGGTTTCCCCTCTCTTTGCCCTCATACAATCCCCAGCCACAGCGCAATTCCAGCCCACGCGAGACTAACCACTCCCGCAGCGGCGGCACCGAATCCATCGCCATCACCGCCGGCGAGACCAAGAACCCCTCCAAGACGCTCCCGCGGGTCGTGCGCAACGTCTTCTGGCGCATCGTCCTCTTCTACATCGTCTCGATCGTGCTGATCGGCCTGGACGTCCCCTACAACTACCCGGGCCTCTCCTCCAAGACGACGGCCACCAGCCCGTTCACGATCGTCTTCGTCGAAGCCGGCAGCACCGTGGCAGGCAGCTTCATCAACGCGGTGATCATGACGAGCGTGATCTCCGCCGCCAACCACGCGCTCTTCGCGGGCTCGCGCCTCCTCTACACACTGGCGGTCGACGGTTACGCGCCGCGGGTCTTCGGGCACCTGAACCGGTTCCAGGTCCCGTGGGTCGCCGTGCTGGCGACCTCGGTGATCAGCGGACTCTGCTTCGGCGCCAGCTACATCGGCGCCGGCCAATTGTGGTCGTGGCTTCAGAAGTAAGCCCTTCCTCCCCCCCTTGTCCCACCTCTTTCCCCCAAATTCTAACACTTCTGCCAAAGTATCGTCGGCGTCTCCAACCAACTCTCCTGGCTCTTCATCGGCGTCGCCTCCCTGCGCTTCCGCGCCGGCATCCGCCACCAGAACCTCGAGCACCTCCTCCCCTACAAGAACTGGACCTACCCCGTCGGCCCCATCTTGGCGGTGATTCTCAACGCCGTCCTGATCCTCGTGCAGGGCTGGTCCTGCTTCAGCCCCAGCTTCCACGCCGTGGATTTCGTCTCGTACTACATCGAACTCCCCATCATGCTCGTCATGTTCGTCGGCTGGAAGCTCTTCAAGCGCACCAAGTTCGTCCGCGTCGACCAGATGGATCTGATGACCGATCGGTATAACCTGGCGCATATCGAGGGCGAGGATGCTGATGCCGATGTTGCGGCGCATGGGGCGCTGGGCGCTGGGTATCCGGACGGAGCTGGGGCGGAGACCTCTGAAGAAAAGGGAGGAGGGTTCCTGGCGAGGTTCAAGAAAGAGGAGAAGGGGTTGTTTGGGAAGGTGAAGCGCCTGGGCATGTGGCTTTTCTTCTGATTGGGTCGGTTTCGGCGGGGTTATGGTGTTTATGATCATAGTTTCTAGTTCCTAATTCTAATTCTTACCTCTGGATGTGTATGTGTATGTATCTTTGATCTTGGCGTGTTGGAGTGGGTCGCGTAGTCTTTCTCTGTCCTGTTGGGCCATGGTTGAAGGAGTACGTGGTTGGGTCAGCAGGCAGGCTTGACGTTAGTAGTCACTGAAGTGCCGAGGTCACTACCCATGCTTGCTGACTGAACACATCGCTTGATCCTTTGCTCTATTCTTATGGTTCATGATTGTTTCGAACGCTCCATCAAGAAAAGACTTTTTGCGTAAATACAAGGATCAAGACATATATACAGTCAAAACCACTCCACTACCCACTATCCACTGCAGCACACCCTCCCCCCCCAAGAAGTCACAGCCTATAAGACAGATATTCTGAACGCTATCATGCCTTCGTCTCATACACAATCTCCCCCGTCTCATTCGACGCCGTCCGGGCAGCAGCCCTCTGCCGCACTCGGCCCAGCGCATCGTGCTCCCGATCCCACTCCTCCAGCCGGTCCACGGGCACCTTGACCAGCTTATTGGCCGTCGCGTCCTCGTCGACCTGGATCTGGGTCTGGCGGAACTCGTAGCGGCCGAGGCGCGGGAGGACCTTGATCCAGATGTAGTAGTAGGCTCCGCATAGGGCGACACTGTGGTCGATTAGCACTTGATTGAGGGGATGGAAAGGGGGGCAGTGGTGGCTAGACATTCGATATGTTGGAGATAGGGGCAGAACGTACATAGCGAGACCCACGACACAATAGGTCGCGTACCAGAAACTCACGTCGCCGCCGTCCGCGCCGGTGGAAGGCGGGTACCACGGGGCCACGAGCATGTATAAGCTGGAGAGGATGGCGAAGCCGACCGTCGCGGTCCATGCTTGGTAGCCTGACGAAGGGATGTTCAGGCGCTGGCGGCGGCGGCGGGTGATAAGCAGCCCGACGGCGAGGAGGAGGTTGAATGCGTTGCTGGGGTACACGCCCAGATCCACAACTGTGGATGCCCGCCGTTAGTTCGTTTATGATTCAGATTGGGGGGGGGGTTAGTGGTAAATGGGCGGTGCCTACCGAAGCTGAAAGCATCGCCCGCTGGGGGAGCCAGGATCATGATGACGGTGAGGAACCACTTCACGAAGTATGGGCCCAGGGGGGTGCCGAAGGGGCGGGTTGAGGTCCAGAATGCCGTGAAGGGGAGGACGCCTTGTCTAGTCCAGGCTGTCAGCTTGCGGTTTCTTCAACTCAGAGAATGGAACAGTCATTGACGCAGCATACCTTCCGCATTCTCGAAGCACTCGAGACTGTCCGATGAGCACAGCTAGCAAGTTGCCCATGGCACTGAGACAGATCAGGAAGTTGAGAGCCCGGGATGCCCCCGACGATCCGAAAACTTTCTCGAAGAAGAGGCCAGCTGCGACCGTGCTGGAGTTGAGAATCTCCTCCTTGGTCGCAACAGAGAAGTACGCAATGTTTGCAAGCATGTACAGCACCGCGACCAAGAAGAGCGAGGCTGGAGCGCTCCAGCTGAGCGTTTTGGTTGGGTTCTAGCCAGACTCAGAATCAGTATATATAGTGCCGAGCAACCCGGAAACAGACCGCGCACCTTGACTTCGTTCGCCACATTGCATGCGTTGTTGTAGCCAGCGTACGAGAACATGACCTTGACCAGGGCATTCGTGGCACCATATACTGACGCTTCCGAAGTTCCAGCGAAGGCATCCCGAAAGTTGACGGTGGGATCCTTGACAGATGTGTGCCCGCCGAGGACCACGAGCCCGGTGACTCCGATACTGGGTTTCGGTCAGTATTTCGCGCCGATACACAAAGGCCGAACTTACAAGATCAGTGTGATGGTCTTGACGAATCCGATGGCATCAGTCAGCCGAAGCGACCATTTCGTGTTAAAAGCCAGCACTAATTCCAAAGATTAGAGGAAAGTGTTGGGGAAGATAATGTCGGGATAACTGACAAAGGACGGCAACTGTGTACGCAGCCACTGCGACGCCTTTCTGCATCCATGCGGTTGAATCCACATTGGCGAGCTTGAAGAGATAGTTGGCCAGCACTGCGAAAATCATGAGCCCTTGCGCTGAAAGATCCTCTGCCCAGGCTACATACCAACAGCGTTACTACTGGCAAATGAGAAGAGAACAGTCTGCATGGCGAAGACTGTAGGAAAGAAGTATTTCGGTCGTGGGTATGACTGTTCGAGGTACACCACTTCGGAGCCGGACCGACTCGGGAAATATGACAGGAACTCGAGGTACACTCCAAGCATGCTACCGGCCATGAAAAAGCCAATCACCCAGTAAAACATAGCAAGGCCCACTGAGCCAGCTCCGGAGAGAACCGTTGCAGCTTCGATGTTGTTAGCTGAGATCAAAAGCATCGTGGCATTGTCAACGTACGAGTCGAGAAAACACCGGTTCCAATCATTTGGTTCAGGTTGAGGCCAATCACCGTCACCGCGCCTACGGAGTATCCCAAGGGAGACTTGGTCTCGATGGGAGCACCGCTGGCTTCTTGATAGGTCAACTTGGAAGAATTGGCTCCCCCGGCAGCAGTATAGTTTAGATTGCCATCGTTGATGACGCTGAACTCATCAGAGCGCTCCTCAGCCTCGATGTCTGCCGACTTGGTGAATATTTTGAGACCCATGATTCGATCAACCTTGACTAAGATGACAATCAAGACGGACCTTTGGCTCACATCTTGTCTATGATGGGGCAATTGTAGTTATTAAATTAGCATGGTTGAAGGGGAGGGGAGGTGGCGGCGATGCTATCTACACGGTGCTCATTGAAGAATTTGATGACGCGATTGCTTGGATGCGCTCATCTTGCATGGCTCAATGGAAGGCGACATGCTAGAGTAAATGAGGTGCTTAAACTAAGAACGCGGGGAAAGAAAGTTGAGGTGGGTTGACGTCGGCATTTTGGAAGCTGGATATCGGGCCGCGCCGATCTGCTTGACCCCAGGCACCAGGCACAGTTAGGGCTGGGTTCTGAAGGCTTGCGAGGCAGCATATATCGAAAATATGAGTGAGGTTAAGGTATCAATTGATACACAACAACAACGCTCTGTCTGGAGGCATGCGATGTTGAGTAACCAGGCTTCTCGTTATCTCTGTGGCGATGAGTGTTCATGTTAGTAAGGAGATGTTGATTGCACGATCGCAGGGGCCGATGACAGCATTCAACGCTAAGTCGCACAAGCGCTTGCTTGATTGATCGCTGCTGTCGCCATCCACATATTAGTTTAGACGATGCATCAAAGCGGCATGCCAATTTGGTTCAAATCTATGATAAGCGAGCTTAGATAACATATTTATGTATATCGTAACCGTAGCGGAGTGATTCCGAGCTGTGCTCAGCCCGCCCACGACAACGCTGTTGAGATGTCGATGTCTGGAGCACGCTAATGGAATCTAACCATAATCAAGCTGACATTGATTTAACGAGAGATCCAGCCATTTTGAATGATTTGTGGACCTCGGAGTTTTGTTGAACTAGGCGATGGAAGGTGAAACGCACTCGTCAAGGTTTCCTTGATTGGCATCGGCCGCGCAGGCGTTCTAGCCCAAAAAATAAAGGCAAATTCGGGATCATAGTTAGGGAAACCCCTAAGTTAGTTTTCATCTGTCAGCAGGTTTTACATCATCTGGATTGGCCACATGTCATAAGCATATCACCTCCCAATATACCCCAGTTCCTGCAGCTGTTGCTCAGTCGACCTTCAGCCCTGAATGTCTATCACCAATGACAATCGAGATCGGAGATCCACGTGCATCGCAATTGATGCCCCTAGTGGTCCATGTTCTATGCCAGTGGAAACCCTCATGGCAAGTGCTGTGCGATCCGGTTCACAAGTGGTGAGCATCTCATATCCATATCTCAAAATGGTTCTTCCATCGTGGACATTTCAAGGGCGAAATCGCTATTCCCTAGAATGCGCAATCAGCATAACCAAGTACCCTTTCGCGAGTTGCAACTCTACCTTCGAATAGTAACGACACCAACGCGATCTTCAATCCATGAAAATCAAGAAACCAATGCCGTGCCCACCCACCACACAATCCGTAGATCACCTGAATCAGCCTCACATCGAACGCAAACAAGTGAAGAACCCACCACACCATCGAACAATAGAGTAGTTCATGCACTCGTGAAGAAAGGAGTCACACGAGGCCAATAAATACCCGCTGTATCCCGGACGGCCCCATTCAAAACGCCTCTTCCATGGATGCGGACAGCACCCAAAACACAGGCTTCTCCGAATGCGGCAACAGGGAAGGGCCGCCTCATGTCTCCGACATACTCTTTGTTTTTCTGTTCTGGTCCGCTTTGTTATGCCATGCCTGCGGGTTGACAAAACGTGGAGTGAAACCACAGGCGACAGGTGGTAAGCACCCATGGGGTTTTGGGTTCTCTCCGAGCCCCCCCCGTCCCCGGAAAGGAGGATCCTCTTTCACTTCCGGTCTGCAGGTTGATACGTGGTCCCGTACATAGGTAGCCAGTACATGTGTTCGGATTAGACGGGGGAGGGGGGGACTGCTCTGGTGGTTCAATGATGCTGCATGCCCTCAGAAGGATGGAGGAGCTGGAATCTCATAGGATGCGGTGGCAACGGTAAGATACTATTCTGTAACGAAGCGTAGAGGGAGTTTAAATCCATACAATGTGGAGGATGGGCTGGCTCTTCACTAGGATGCGCATCAATCCGAGTCACGTAGTGAAAATCCGCCGCGGAGACGGAACCAACATCTCCCGGGAGTTGGCCACGGCCACGAAATCCACCGTGGGGAGCAAGTGATCTATTGCGTGTCTGCACATGGTTGGAGTGACCAATCAGTCTTTGTGAGTCATGGAGCAAACATGCATGCTGAGGACAAATGCAGGCTCAGGAACAGGGGGGGTGATATGTGCAAGTTCGGTCACCTTTGAAATTCGTTCTTCCACGAGCGGACCGGACTCGGTTTATTCCCTTGTGCTGTGGGGAAGGGGGGGGGGATATGAAGCATTTCTAGCTTAGAGCACCCTGTTCGCCAGCTGATTGGGTGTGTATTCCGAGTCTTCGTAGAAAATAAGAAACGCATTGGATGCATCTCGCAGGCAAGTAAACCAGAAGAGTGTCTATGGATAACATCTGCCGGATGCTGGGTGGAAGAAAGACAGTGCCGGGTTCTGCCTAGTAGAAGAATAGAACAAAGAGCCGACAAGTCCCGTGACAAAGGCTCTCTCACCTGACAGTGGAGGGAGATCTCAAGAGTTCAGAGCTCTATCAAACATTGATTCTGTCAGTTGTTGATTCCAGCCGGTACTCCAAGATGAAGACGTCGCAGCGGAGAAGAGAAAGCGCTCCAAATAACGTTGATCAGATATACAGGATACGCTCTCCATCTGGCCCAGTGAGGTTGTGTTGGAAAATGCACACCCTTGGTCTCGGTATACAGGCTGAACCTGGCCTTTCCACTGAGGTGAATTTGGCAGCTAGGCTGGTACCTTCTGCGCCATACTAAGGTTGACGGTTGAGCAGGTAGGTCACTTAATAGCCAAGTCTGAGCAATGCTTCATTCGAAACTAAGACTACTGAGTCTGCTGTTGCCAACCTCGATTCTTGAAAGGCGCACTCCAGCCACCTCGAGTCCACGACATATCTAGACAGAGCAGCTGCTACGGCCAAGGTAGCGGCGTAGCCAGATGACTTCCGAAGGTTAGAGATATAAGCCTCAGATTCGCAACCGGACTACTAGGATATAAAGAATTGTATGATCGGGGAATATCAGCTATGCGTGACGTATGGATTGGGTGTCAACATCGTTAACACAAATCAGACTTCAAAACTTCTACCAAAGCACCCCACACTTGAATTAAGGATCTGTCCAGCAGCACATTAGCACCGGCGTCTACATAGCCTGGCATATAATCCAATTAAGGTACAATAGATCTTTTCCTTATCCCAACCAAATGCAGCAATGCAGTAACCGTGGATGTTGAAATGCTAGGAATCCCACAACGCCGTCTATGACAGTTAAACCGAGTATTCAGAAAACATTGAGTGTATCTTGAAAGAATGGCTGCAACACGCTATGCGTCGAACAACAGAATATAGGAAACATAGTATCAAGAGTAGATCAATCATGCCGCTCCAGGGAAAGACAAAGGGAAAAAAAAAATGGGTCGTAGCTAGACGGGCGGCGCTCTTGCGCTCAAAAATGCTGAGTTGACAGAACACATAGGAAATGAAAGGAAGGAGAAAGATGGTGGATATATAAACAGAAATATGAAAAAGATCGTAAGCGAGAACGAAGCATATCACAAAAGAAAGTGTGCGTCATGATCGTCTCTGTTGCAGACCCGCTACAAGCCGAGCCTCCTCAAATCAAGCTATTCGAGCATGGAAATAGGATGGGTATCTGGAGGACGACATGATGATAGCTTTTAGTCATTGACCATGTCATCCAAGGCCATTTTTCTCCGCTTGGCTGGCCTTGAATCCTGTGAATGAGGTTCAGCCGCAGATTGCTCCATTTGGGCTTGCGAAGGGGACAATTGTAGCGATTGTCCTTCTGTACCAGGAACCATGGATCCCAGGTGTCGTAAAGCTGGATCGACGTATCCTGAATCGGATCCTCCCGGACGCATTTGACTGTTCGGCGAAATCGGCTCGATATATCCGTGCGGTGGCATATGTTGTCGATGTTCCTGTGACAAGTAGTCCTCTCGCATGGGCGACGACCAAACTGCAGGGTATGGGTCACTGCTTAAGCGATGGCCTTGCGACACATGAGCCGGTGTTCCCATCGTCGGCGCATAGATCGGGGGAAGCCTGACCGGCGATTCGCCGTACCCTTCACGGGGATCCCTTCCTACTGGCATTTCCCCCATCGGCATTCGATTTGCCATTCTCGTGGCCTCCGCGTAAGGCGACATCGGAATAAATTGCTGTTGGTATTGCGGCGGGGTCGTAGCAGGATTCAATGCTTGGTGGGTGTAAGAGGACAGATGCCTTCCAGCTCCCGTAGGCATGCGACCCATTCCCAACGCGGGATTGTACCCGGCAGGCATCGGCACATAGGTGGGCGGTGATGTTGTCGTCATCGACTGAACTGATCCAGAGGAGGAAAATCTCCGATGACCGATGCTTCTTTGCATTGTCATGGCAGGATCCAGGGCGTGGGGATACATCGAAGCAGACCACCGGTGCGGATGTCCTGACGAGGCCCTCATGGCCATTGCTCCTGCTTGACCTCCCATCATTTGCAGATCTGTCACAGGGCGTATTTCCCGCGAGGAGGTTGCTCGATGCATGTGTGTCCGTCTCGATTGAGAGCCATGAGGCTCCCCGGCAGTTGCTCGATCCAGGTGTGCGGCATACGTTCTGAGGGATGCTTCTTCCGCCTTCAGCGGCGGTCGCCCTCGCTTCTTATGCGTGACATCTACACATGTAGCCTACCGAGATATTAGCACATTCATCCCCATTCAGTATCACGGTGCAAGCTTCAGGCTGGCATGTGGGATCGAGGCAACAAGAGCGGGCAAACTCTCCCAGAGTGATTGAGCGGAAATCTCCATCGACACTTACTTCTTTTCCTGAAAGAACGCATCTCCGACATGGCCGCGCTGGATCACAGCCCAAGTGCTTCTTTTTGCAGTTCACACACGCTGATGCGACATGCGCTTTTGTGCGTCTGGTGGGCTTTTGCGGTAGTGGTCGGGTAGAGGCATCCGGAGGCGACGATCCGAACGAAGGCGGGGCGTAGGCAACCGCCGAAGATTGCGATAAAGGTTGAGCTCCGAGCGACGGTGGAAGTCGTGTCGAAGAGAATGCATCGCTAACACTGAGCGGTTGCCGTATCACTTCCTCCCCGGGCGCGGAAACTATGCGCTGCACCAGCGGTTCCGAAACAGCTCCAGCGCCCGCGGGCCCCGAAGGGAGATGAGATCCAGAAACAGCAATGGGTGTCGTCGTTGGCGCTGTTACGTTCGCGGTTGATACTGGTTGGAAGAGCTCCGGATGTCCGGGGCGCCTCGCGGTCCCAGAAGTCTCCAGCGAGTCTGCTGCTGGGACCGGACCGGACATAGAGCGAGGGGGCGGTAAATCCCGAGGAGTGTACCGTCGAGCATTTGTCGATCGAGGGAGATTGAACGAAAGCCGCTCTTGGCCTGGGGTTAACCTTGGATGGCCGAACTCTGTAGAGATGTAGGAAGAAGGGGGAAGGACGAGTGATTGCATCTGGTAATACTGGGTCCCTGGATTGGCAAAAGAGCCACTGTTCACAAAAGTAAAGGGACGCTGTTCGGTTTGACTGTTGAGATAAGCATATCCGACATTAAAAAAGGTCCTCAGTTGTTTACTCGAAGACGGTGTGTTGTTCAGTCGCCAGTCATCGTTGAAACTCCACACTTGCAGGCAGAGGGGCCACAGGAGCTTATAATCAGTTAGTCCAGGTTCACGGTTGGAGGAGTCACAAAGGAGGATACGTCGATCAGCAGTAGATAGCAAGATCGTGACAGCGGTTTTCCATGGCTTCGATGGTCCCCATCTTGGGGTGATTTATTGCAGCATGGCGGGCGATCACTGGAGCCCAAGGAAATGCACAGAACGACAGGAAAAGCAATAATCATGGAATGGATTCGAAAATAAAATACACCATTTTGTACCTTACCTTTCAGTAAAGAACCAGAACCTTCTTTTTATTTTTGAGACGGCTCTTGCTTTCTGGGTTTATGGTTTTTTTTTTCTTTCTTCTTCCTTTTTTGAGATGACCAACTTGACCGGAGTATCTCTTCCTACTGCATCATATAAGATTCAAGGACGGAGTATGAACTGGCTCAGTCGCATCCGACGGTAGATGCGGGAATCGGTGAGTGAGCTGGTATGTGGTGAACTATACCGGAAAGTGAGGCGTATAGATCCGGTGAGATCACACTCCCTCTTCCCCAAGAGGAAGTGAGTATGGGAGTGAGTCTGAGAGGATAGAAAGATCGAAGAGGGAAGATGAACACACGAAGAACACGAATAGGAAGTTTTTTCTCCGGTGTCCAGATCAGAGGTGCAGCTGGTCAACGGGCCAGGGAAGTTTGCACTGCACTTGAACCGAGAGACAGACAGACAGTCAGTCAGACGGACAGTCAACTGGAAGGCAGTTCAGTCACCCTAAAGAGGGAAGGACCCAGAGGGATGTGACGGGTGTAAAGATCCCAGTCCCTCATCGTAGGTTGCGGCAAGGCTTATACCTCTTTTTTTTTTATTATTCATTTCCCTCTTGAAGTGAAGGGACCCTGCTTGCTTGGTTGGCTGACAATAGAGGAGCGGTTGAGGGTGGGTAATGGGTAATGGGTGCCCAGTGCAACACCGACTAGCAGCCGATAGACTACTTGATCTTCATTGATGGGAAGATCTGAATGGGGAATCTCTGGTTCCGTATTCTCTGGAAGCATGTCAGTATGTACGGGAGTAGATTTGGGGGGAGGATCAGGAGAACGAGTGGTCCCAATCCTCCGGAGAGTTGAGACGCGGGTTTGTCATAAAACCCCCATTTTCCAGATAGCTTCACCAGCCTGACAATGGGATGGACACAATCATTGCATTTGGAGATTTTCCTTTTTCTTTTCTTTCTCCAACTTTCCTTTTTCTTGTATTTATTTTCAGTGTTTTTCCGATTTGTGAATGCTCTGGTCAACAGCTCCTTCTGCGGTTTTGTTGTCGGTGATTCGGGATCTCGAACATTATTTTGGTTTTGATTTTTTTTTTTGATTTTTGTAAATATTGCTTTGGGATTAAAATAATGATTTTGGATAAATATGATTCGAGTTCTTTCCTGTTCTGAGGAGGGAGGGAAAGATTTCATTTGTTCTAACCAGCTGGCTGGGTCAAAAGCAGTGGCCTGCATCAGATGGTCGATGGAGACTGGATGCCGCTGTCAGTGACACAGGCCCGAAAATGATTCAATTGTTTTAGAGATTTTCCCAAACCGGAAAGCAAGTGGGAGTGCAGTGCCCAGTACTAGCCAGGTGCAGCCTGCTGTGCTGTGGGAGAAAGAGCATAAGAGAATACGTAGTAGTATTAGTATGTGTGAGCAGGGCGAGTGGGCAGTGGTCCAGTCTGCAAAGACTAAACCAGAAATCTCATATTTTTATTCTATTTTCTTTTCGAAATTGTTTTTTTTTTTCTGTGAGAATTACCTTTTCTGGATATATCTCGTCCTCTGTACTTGGTAGTTCAGCAATGATGCCAATCAGAAGAAGCGGAAGCAAGGCAGGAAAAGTTGAATGGAAAGAAGAGCCCCTCAAAGTTGGCGACGGATCGACATCGGCGCCCACCCGCTGCAGCCATTGCCAATAGTCCCGCTTCGGTAGGGATGGGTGGGTGGGTGGAGAAATAGGAATAGGAAAGGGAAGTTGACACGCGCGACCGATCAAGGCATAAATGGAGAACTCGTCACCCAGCAGCTGTACTCCGTAGGCTGTGCACTAACTTATTATCCATGATTATTTTAAGCTCGTCCGGCATTCACATTGGACGGATAATTCCTGTCATTGTGTAACCCCTTTCTCATCCTTTCCATATGGCTTTTTTGTGGTCGCAGTCGAGACCTCAATGCTAACTACAGGTACATACAGTAGTAGTAGGAGTACTGTACCTGTTTCGCTCTTCTTTCCTCTCGGCCCTTCCTTCATACTACTATTACAAATGAACGCCAATAACTTATATACACTGGATTCGCGGAAGAGACGTTTCCGCTTCCTCGCCCTTAAGTTCTATTTACACTGTATGTGCAGTGCAGTACAATACCTCGGCAGTTCATGTTAGCCGCACTAAACCAGTGTCACTCGGACTATCCCGTCCGGGTTCGAGAGGAAGAAGCATAAAGTAGAGAATACTAGTAATGCATGCATTTTGGCACGGAACAGGCCATTTCCAGATTAGTTGAGATTTCAATGGAGATTGAAAAGATGAAAGAACGTGGTAGTTTTGTGAACTGCTCCAGTAATCTGAGTACTTCTTTTCTCTGTTTCTTTTTCCGCCGGTCCGTAGGGCCATGAGACTCTCACTCACTCACACACATATACTGCAATTGTTGTACTCAAAGCATGCATTATTGGGGATCTTTCGACCAATGGCAAAACTTGCATTCCTCCTAGTACATCTTACCTTACTTTCTGCTTCGGTATTTTATGTTGGCGACATACTCCCAATCTATTGTTCCCTTTGAGCTGGTCCGGCCGTAGATAATTGTGGTTAAGGAGTAAGTAGAGTTGGAAATAGCTCCCGAGGCCCGCCCCATTCTGGTCAAACCGCCTAGGGCGGAGGAGGAGATATTGAACGCATGGCTGATGGACGCCGGTTTAGTCACCGATTGCCATGCGCACTTGTACGATGACATCAATGCCCTTCCCTCATTCTAGTTGCATAGGTACTCAGAGGCCGGTATGTCTACCATTGTCTAGAGCCAACAAGTGCAAGTGTCATACTGCTCCCTAAACATCTCTATAAGTGCGAAAGAGTCTCTCTGGTAACGAGATCCTCAAACGGAAAGCTTCACTCGATCAAAGCGATATCCTGCCCTATCATGATGGTGGTTGGTGGGTGCTGGAGGGGCAGGCCGCTACATTAATAGCCCGAATGGTCCCGAATGAAAGCCAGTAATTCTCCGGCTTGACACTACGATAGCTTACGGCGCTATGTTGGGTCCCACCCGGAAATGCCATTGGGGCTAACGGGAGTGTGTCCGACAACTGTGAAGGCTAGAATGGATGTCTTCGTACGTGCCACCCAAATGAATCCCAGTGTGCAACAGTTTGGCCGGTCGGCTCTTGGAATCAGGTGCAAGCTCGCCACCACTCCCTAAACCTACGCAGCGAATTCCTGAGTCTTTGCCGTTGTTGTGCTATAAGTGACAGGGAATCTGCCAGCTTCCAAGCTAACTTGTCGTTGGAGATACTGCGCGACCTGATTCAAGCACGGAAAATATCGCTTGTATCCGTGCAATGTCGAAACGTGCTGAAAAGCATGAACGGGGCAGATCTTCAACAGGAAATAGACGACTTTTCAAGACAGTGGAAGAGCGTAGGGAGTCGATGTACGATAATTCCGATACAGGGTCTTGTTACCCGTTGCGAGGGAGCTGGCCTTAAGGATTAGATCTCCACCAATTGTCTAACAAGATGGTTAGTGGAACAGGCAGTTAGGCCTAGCCCAATTATCTCAAATGCGGTAGTTTCGCTTGAACACGACTCATAAATGGTCCGTCTGATAAGGAGAGTGTGACCCACCATGCTCGTTGGGAGCGGAGAGCGAGCTTGGATGCCAGATGAGCATCACGAGTAGCTCACTGGCATTCCGTAACGGCTTTCCCTAACGTGAGAGGGAGCCGAAGCCATTGTACCCGACACTTGCTGCTGTATGGAGTCTATGATCTTATTCGGATGGATCAAAGCTTTGATTTATTTCCCGCGGCCTCGCTTATTGGACAAGTTTGAGCCGGCCGGCTTGTCCTGGGCCATGACTATTGATTCCCGTCAAGAATAACGGGAGCCACTGCGGGGATCTTCGTGTCGTGAACCCCCCAGGCTACGATATGACAACACTGGCTGGTTTCCCCGTCCTTTGCGAAGTATTGACCTTCAATCGGAAAGGGATGTCGCGTACTGTACACTGCACCGAGACCACTTGGAATTCGGGCAAAATTGGCGTAAGATGAACGAATGAGGATCGCGTATGACAGTCATAGCCCCATCAGTATGCGTAGTCCGTACAAAGTCGGGAAAAGAGACCACATGAAGCAATGAACCTAACTCATACACGAAAGGCCAGCAAGGGATCCAAGGCAATTCACACTGGATATGCGCTAACAAATCGCGGGACAATTGCTAGTTTAGTTAGTACAGTACATCCAAACCGGCAAAAGCGTTCGGTCTAATTCGAGCTTTGAAGCGACAGCACGATCTGCCCCCGACAGTCATCAATAGTTCGAGCGACCGGCCCCAGGGACTTAAACCTCAATGGGTAAGGGCTGGAGTAATCCATGACGGATGGATCATGCGGCTTGCGGATGGGACGCGTACGGAAAGATACTATGCACTGTAGCTTAGTCGTTGGCATATTGATAGTCGATGATAGTCCCCGCAATTCCTCATGGCATTAGTAGTAGTAGTAGCTAAGGTCAGTGAACCTGCTTCTCCGTGTCACCCAAATCGCCCATTGAGGTCTGACAATTACGGCAATACTGTGCATACCATTGTACCGTCTTAGCGTCTGGAAAGGGGCACATCGTGGTCTGCACGGGAGGAAGAGACTCAACAATGCCGTGGAAATGGAATGATGGAAATGCAAATGGATGGAACTGGTACTGCATGGTACATTGCAGCTCGTTGAGTTAGTCTAGTCCCGAGTCCCTTGTGAGTCTAAAGCAATTGAGTCGACGGTCACGGGTCACGGGTCGATCATGCTTTTGCCCAAAGAAGTCTAGCGCGGTCAGGAGAACGACGAACCGTTTTGGGAAACACGCAGCGCCCCTCACAGGGTAACGATTGGCAGGCGCGGGCGGCGGTATTTGTCAACCCACTCAACCCCATTCAGGTTCGAGGCTCAAACAGACTATCACTTTGACTACTGACGCCGCACTGCGAACTAACTCGACTCTAATAATAAGACCGATGCTATACCTCATCCTGGATCTTCCCGAATATCGAGGGGATCCTTCTTCCTTGTTTGACCCACGGTTATGCAATATCTAAGCTCTCTGCTTTACTGTCCTCCCGGTATGACCATGTTCTGTCGCGATCAATACTATTGTACATCGCCATCTCCCTTGTCCCGTGGCGCATACAATATCCCGTATCGAAGATCGGATAGCATGGAACGGTGCTCGAAAGAGAACTGGAAGCCTAACAATAGTCACGTCAACAAAGGGGAACAACCGCGGGTGGTCATCGCTCCATGATACCATATTGGTAGCACATCCGTGATCCTACAGCTTTTCCTAGTGCATAGTCCGGCTACAAACCGATATCAAGTAAATCTTCCGAGAAGAGGGTCTTTCCGAGGAAGAGTCCAAGCTAGTGATATCGACACGAGGGCAACTGTGCACGGTAGACGTCCGATAGCCACATTAACGGTACGGCCGGAGGCTTTTGCGGCTAGACTGCTTCATTGCCACGCCATCACGGTTCTCGATAGTGCCGAGCTCCTTGATAGACTCGCTTCTCGATTCATCTTTCTACATGGAGATATTTTCGCTGGTTAAGTCGCTTAACACGTTGTTGGTAGCCACCTCATGAACATCCGTCCACCGTGCCCGACATGAGGATCTACCGAGTGTGGCTCTCGCAGCAATGAACATAGTAGCGTGTACCTGAGCAATAGAGGCAACAGTTGTTCTTGGAACATATGTTCCCAAGTGTGGGTTCTTCTATAAATCTATAAGGTCACGAAGGCTAGGAAGCTTACTATTCGACGACCTGAAGAGGGTTGGCCCAGGATGCATACACTCAACCGCGTTGAAGTTCTAACACTGGACTGCCACGGGCCTCGGCAGCAATTCATGCTCTATGGTACTTCTCGCGGCAAGGTAGATGATGAGCGTCCGGGCAGTGTTATGCCTGGAAGCGCTCGTTGCGACGGAGATCGAAAAGTCGCCCTTAGGGGAGAGATGCACACAGCCACTACTATCCAGAAAATTCCCGTTCTGCACCGGCCGATCTCGTTTAACGACGTCTCCCGGAGCTTCGGAAATCAGGAACCAATAGGCATTGGGTAATCCCCGGCGCCACGAATCAACGGTCTTTGGGCGCTCGCATTCCTTACAACCGTGGTCTACGGGTGATTCTAGGTGTCCCTTTGCAATGTCCTGCTGCTCGCGGGCTTGACCAAGGGGCGACAATTGTTTCCTCGATAGCGTCTCATGCACATGAGGTGACTCGTGGGCAAGCGTACTTACTGTACTACCCCCATTGAACGCTGACATGCCAGCAACACTCATTTGAACCTGTGAACTGGGCAATGTATCAGTACCAGAGGTTAGAGCGCAGCTCATCTTTGCCTTTGCAGGGGTCGCTTTGGGAAAGGTCACTTAATCCGCACCGACCTGGGACCCATGCATGATCACTGCATCAATGGTATTGTCGTTGGTCAGAACGGTCTGCAGGGAGTGCTAAATGCATCAGCAACCACTGTATGACGAACGTCAAGCCCGCGGTCTGCAATCTGCACTACGGGATGACCAGTCATCTGCATGGGGCAACTCAGATGGCGGAGCCCGAGATAGGCATTTCGCTTGATAGAGAGTCGGTGAGGATGTGACAAGTCTCTTCACAGACACTCAAGCGGCTTCCATGATTTCCTCCTCGATTCACCATCTTTTTCCGTCTCCTCCAAGACACCCGGTGAAAAAGGAACCGTAACCCTACTCCGGGACGGTCCGAGTATGATGAAGCCCATAATATGAACATTCCGAATATGGAAGACAAGCCGTACAATAATTGACCATGGAGAAAATTATTTATCTACGAACTTGCATGGTCTCACGGGAGTTGGTGTCTCCATGATCCCGTGTATTATCTACGGAAAAAGGTGGTGTCAGATTCGTCGTTGCTTACAGTGAGTAATCTTCCAAATCCGTCATCCCCATTCTGCTGCTCAAGACAAGGTCTAAGAAATGATACTCTAAGACCGATGCACGCTGCTCAAGTTAGGACTATAGATTGAAGCTTCACAGAGTCACAGTGCCATCATTTCCGTATCTCCTGCCGATTTGTTGCTGATGCGACTGCAACGAGGTCTGCATCCAAGGCACAGCATCAATCGGTGCGCGCAGAAACTTTCTCTGTTGCGACTTATCGGACTGGGTGGACTACCGGCCGAATTTACACGGGCGTTGTGTTGGTATGCAGCGGTGATCAGTGCATGATCGTCTGTTCTGTGGAGGGTAAGCTTGGATCCAGCACTAACTTTTGCCTAGTATTCATTACAGCCGGACTTGGCAATGCAGTGTTACCTTCCTAGTGGATGTGCATGCTGGGGAGTGAGGAGCTCTCTCGTTCCCTGCCTATGCTATCGAGGAATTGGCTTGTGAATGTCTCTGTCTATTGAACATGACGCTTCAAGGAGGGAACGTGTACCGAAGGACGAGTAGACAGAATACTCTTAGAGTCTCTGTTGTAAAACAGTGACTTGAATGCGCTTGCCCATGGGGCATTGCTGGCACTGTGCCAGTTCTCGGTGCTTTCGAGTTTCCTGGGTACATTTGCTTCAATCTTCCTACGGATCTACGGGACAAAGACATGTCGGTGGTCAGCAGGACCTTGAACAAGGACTCTCGGCTCCGATGGACTCTGACGCATACTGGCGGCCGGCTACGCCTTTGCTGTTGCTGGTGACTCGGTGCGAACTCTGACCTGCCGACCATGCGCGGTGTATACAGTCGGGCAGCCTACAGTACCGCGATCAATGTCACGGTAGATCATCTGTTGTGGTACCATGGAGAGTTTCTTGGGCCCGCAGGACCACCGGGTGACTCTATCGGCGAGGACTCTGGTGGAGGGGACGACAACGAGGTCGATTCTCCTACCGTGTCGAGGCCGACTCTTTTACTTCGTGGCATGCATCTTCTCCGACGCATGCAATTGGCCTGGATCTTGGATTAAGTGCCGACCTTGTCTTGCCTTTGCTTGCCAACACGGACCTGTGAAGCGGTATTTGCAAAACACAAGGTTGGCGTACGGTATCGATCTGTATAGAGGATAATATCGTGGCTACCTTAATCGAGATGAGGCGTGCCGCTCTGCTTCTGGTGGTCATCCAGATTGTAGTAGGATCATTACTGTGGTAGGTCATTGCTACCTGCGCTGATGGATGTAGGGTTGCCTGTCACCAGGCCGCTGTGATGACGAGCTCCTTGAGGCACCATTTCGTCAGCGGTTGGTGCTATGCGTAGGAAGATACGATGTAGGCATCGATCATCGCAGTAATCACGTCAGAACAATTGCGCACAAAGATGTATGTCGGGAGATTCTCTGGAGGGCTGGCTGGGACTTTTCTTGAGGAGCAAAAAGAAATGACCAGACTGGGGCTCGATCCCAGGACCTTATCGGTGTTAACGATACGTGATAACCAACTACACCATCCGGCCAACTCATGCTTTAGGGGGGGTACAATAGGGAAATATGGAATTGATTATTAGATTCTAGTAAAACACCCACTATCTCAACCATAAGATACCTGGTCAGTCTATCAATTGCAACCGCCTTGTTCAGGCGGCATTGCTAGGTGCAAGTATGATGCTGCACCCTCTGATCGAATCTTCTCAAGCGTGCACGGGCCTAGATCACCATCTCAACCATCATCTCACCACAATCTCTGGATCTACCTTAACTCAACCATGGTAGCCGTCAACCGATGAAATTATATTTGCCAATCTGCGGAGAACCTCGGCTCAAATGGCCGAGACTACTTACTCTCTACCAAGATATCCCAGCCAGCCACGGTAGCTTCCATCAACACGAACTCGTATCAATCTCTCGACCTCGAAGAAAACCAGCTCCGCAGGCCCCAATGGACCCATCTACCAGCTGCGTACCAGCTGCGCTGCGCCCCTCAGCTACCGAGTTACCCATCATTCTGCTTAGGATGGTAGGTAGCTGAGCACCCCACCCGCCGACCTGACCACAACATTCCCTTCCAAAATATACACAACTCTATATCCCGACCCACCACAAACTCGAAGCATCCCACAAGGTAGGTCGATCCACGACAAAGCACCAGACACGATACTACCCGTGGCATGACCTGCAGGCCAGTCAGGGGAGTCTCGCCACCAGGAGCAAAAAAACAACCGCCAAGCAAGTTAAACGTTAGACTTATCTTTAAGGCGGTTTCTTGATGTCAGCTGAGTGAGCACTAGGCCTAAGCCTCACTGGGCCCCCGCCGATGACTGTGAACTAATCCGATACGATGCAGGATGCATTCCATCACTCAGCTCAGCTACCTATATTAACCAGTCATCCCCGGGTTCTCAGCCTCTCTTCCTCCAGAATTCACACACTACAACTTAAAAATCACGACAGACACAATGGTCCAACCTTTGGAGATCCGGTTCCTCGGTGAGCAGCTCCCTCCTCGCCCGTCGGGCTATACTCCGCGAGAGATCCACGAAACTAACGGCGACGGATAGCAACCGACCCCAACGCATGGAGTGTACGCTGGCACCCTTTTTTTCCCACACCCTAGAATGCACCCGATGCACCCTTCAAAACTAACAGAGAATAGATAATCACCATCGCCGAAGAACTCGCAATCCCATACACAATCCACCCCTACCAAATCCCCTCATCTCGCTCACCAAGCATCATCCCATCGACCCAAGAACTCCCAAGCAAGTACCCTACCCCAGATAACCCACCCGTGATCCCCTCCCC